AAAAGGTCACACATATAGTTTATAATAAAGTACGAGGGTTGTCCCAAAAAGTCGTAGACAATGCTTATAATTTTTAAAGTACGCAACCAATTCTAACCAAATTTTGCATTGACATAAAATATTTAATGTTCTTTAAAATCGTGAATTTTTAAATTTATATCTTTCATATTAATGATATTAAGGCCATTTATATGAAGGCCGATAAGGCCTGTCGGCGCACTAACAAAATTCTGAATAATTTTTGCATATAACTATCACATTTGCTTTTATTTCTTTAGTACTATATAATACACTTAACTTAAAATTTAAATCACTGAAACCAGAATCAAAATCTTAATAATATCTCAAAATATCATATAAATTGCTTTGGAAACAGACGATTGGTGTTATGATTTTCATAGTATCGTCAGAATTGAGTTTAATGAAAATGACGTCGTCAAACGCGTAGCCGGCGCACGGAGATGTAATAAATTGTGTTTGTTATGGTTTATATACATCAGAGACTGGAAAAAATAGTAAAGAAGCGACATTACACACCAAATTTTAATAAAGAAGTTATTTTCAATTGGCACGATACTCAGTGAAAATATTTTCGGGGTGTAATAAGTAGCATACTTGCCAACCTCCAGCATGTAAAAATCTGGTCATGACCAGATTTGGAAAGTAAAAAATCTGGTCATAACGCGCGTAACAACATTCACGACATGATTACCATGATTAAATTTTATAATATATATATACAAAGTATTTGTGTATTGAGAATTCTTTTATTGAAAAAGGATTTAATTTACTATGACAAAAAAATTCAAATATAATTTGATTTAATTTTATATGTTAAAAATGAGAATTGAAGGTTTCATATTTCAATATTGACCTGATTCAGAAGTATATAAGTGTGCATTTTTTTTTTAAAAGCCTTTTCACATGTTTCAGTTTCTGCTAAATTTGAAAGTATACCAATTTCAGTTTTGAAGTTATTTTTCCTCTCATTTAACTAATTAACTACTGTAATATGTTTTAAATGTGAAGTTAGGCCTACACTGTCTTCGATCACTTTATTTATCTAGAATGAAAGTTTTTTCCCCCAAGATTCCTAGATATGTACATAAATATCGTTTCTCTTTTTCTTGGTTCAATCAGAGACATGTGTTTGGTTCAATTTGTTCCTGTTGGCCCTGATAACGATCTAGTTCTATCGGAAGCCATTTTAATTGACTTCAAACATTGAATTGTCAAAACACCCAGTTAACTGTTTACACCTGCACTGATAATTAATCCATCGGCATTGTTTACGCGTAGATCTAAGCTTGGGTTTTAACTGGAAGTTAAAAGTGCAACCTAATTTACGAACCAAATCCGGAAATCGGGAGATTTCCGGGTTGTTTGACAAAAATCGGTTGATAAGCATGACCCGCCGGGTCATAAAAAATAATCGGGTTACGGGTTGAAAAATCGGGTGTGACCCGACGAAATCGGGTGAGTTGGCAAGTATGATAAGTAGAGTACTTTTTGTTAAACGCAGACAACAGGGAAAAATTTTGATCTCGAACGACGTCAAACAATGTATATTCTCTGCTACCTACAATGTAAGGCGATCTTTCGAATAAATTTCGACTGAAATTTGAATCTGGTTTAAAAAAAAAACAAATAAAAAACAAACGGACAGTAGTGATTTTACTTAAGACCCTTAGTCAGGAGTGGTCTATCACTTTAAAAAATATATTGAATGTTAAGAGACGTGAGTGAGGCAGACAAAGAGATCATGACGTTATAAGAGACTTAATTTACGCTTGCTATCGTGCGCTGTACACTTATATTCTTTCTTTATTTTTACATAATTTTCTTATTAGATGTGATATCATCATGAAACTTGAAATGCATGATCATAAAATGTTAATTTTCGCTATGACAAGGAAAAACCAGAAGTCTCTGTCGAGACTGTAGCTCTACTGGTTTGTACTTACAACAAAGGATGAGGAAAGAAGCCATTGCCATCAGACCAAAACTGTAGAAGGAGTAGCGTTTTAAAGGAATTTCACAGGCATTTCTATTTTTAGTAACAATGGCTACACCGTTCATCGAAATCAAAAACCGATGCACTATTTTATGTATCTAAGTGTAGTCTACTAAATTGTGTGCCAAGTTATATTGAAATCAGACCAAAACTGTAGGAGGAGTAGCGTTTTAAAGAAATTTTACACAAAATTCTATTTTTAGTAACCATGGCAACACCGTTCATCGAAATCAAAAACCGATGCACTATTTTATGTATTTTAGTGTAGTTTACTTGTGTGTCAAGTTATATTGAAATCAGATCAAAACTGTAGGAGGAATAGCGTTTTAAAGGAATTTCACACAAAATTTTATTTTTAGTAACCATGGCAACACCGTTCATCGAAATCAAAAACCGATGCACTATTCTATGTATCTTAGTGTAGTCTACTTGTGTGTCAAGTTATATTGAAATCAAACCAAAACTGTAGGAGGAGTAGCATTTTAAAGGAATTTCACACAAAATTCTATTTTTAGTAACCATGGCAACACCATTCATCGAAATCAAAAACCAATGCACTATTTTATGTGATTTAGTGTAGTCTACTTGTGTGTCAAGTTATATTGAAATCAGATCAAAACTGTAGGAGGAGTAGCATTTTAAAGGAATTTCACAGAAAATTCTATTTTTAGTAACCATGGCAACACCGTTCATCGAAATCAAAAACCGATGCACTATTTTATGTATTTTAGTGTAGTCTACTTGTGTGCCAAGTTATATTGAAATCAGATCAAAACTGTAGGAGGAGTAGCATTTTAAAGGAATTTCACAGAAAATTCTATTTTTAGTAACCATGGCAACACCATTCATCAAAATCAAAAACCAATGCACTATTTTATGTATCTTAGTATAGTCTACTTGTGTGCCAAGTTATATTAAAATCAGACCAAAACTGTAGGAGGAGTAGCGTTTTGAAAAATTGTTTACAGACAGACGGACAGACACACAGACAGACTGACGGACGCCTTACTATCGCATAAGCTCTTCTGATCTCTGACCAGTAGAGCTAAAAATTAATTAAGCAAAGAGACACTAAACTGTTTCCCTGTCTACGACTTTTTGGGACAACCCTCGTAATACTATCACTGCATCATAGGCCAAGGCATACATACATAGACAATGCAAAATCTTAACAATTTCTGACATTTTCATACAAAATATTTCTGCTCTTTTCCTTTTGCAAAGATTAAACTGAGTCAAGTACACATGCTTTGATTATGGTAGTTTTAGTGTCTATGAACAAAAAACCATTTTTAAACAAAAACTGCAGCTTTCCTGCCTATAAAGAGGGGCGAGGGAATTGTTTGTTGGCTTGGTTCTTATCAGATCTCCTTTCTGAGTTTACCTCTAGCCACTTGTTCTTTCTATTGGTTCCTCTGTAATTCTTCTGAACTCTGTCAGTAAATAGATGTCTCTCCATTACTCTCTTCCAATGGTCCGTCATCAATCCATTTAAATCATACGTAGAATCAATTCCTATCCAACCCTTGAATGCTGTGCTACATGGCAATTCCTGTATGAATGAAAAAGTTATTTCACTTAAAAATTTATGCAAAACTAATGAAAACTCAATGAAATCATAAAATTGTATTTAATGAATACAAGTTATGTGATTAAAAATAAAGCTATGCTTAAAGAAACTAGAAAACTGACCAGTCAGCAAGGGCCCCGCCATGGGATAGAATTATGAGGGTGCAGCTTACGGAATGAAAAAAATTTAGAAGAATAAGCAACAGCAACTGTACTCTTAAAATTTCAAGATAATTCCTGAATATTCAAAAACCTGTAAATAATATCCTTTTTTTACTTTAGGCAGTAAAGAACAACTTAACATTAATGATATTTAAAAATAATAAGCTTATCTAATATAAAATGCCAGCCTTCAATGAATGAAAATATATTAACTTCAAACAAACAGCATTTGGGAAAAATTTTTTCATTAATTTTAAAGTGACAGAAAAAAAAAGTTTAAAATTTTCCCACAGGCTGAAAATTAACCCCAAAGGGGATTAATTAAGGTCTTCCGTTTCCAAGGGAAGACCTTCTACTATTCTATGATTAAATTATATGTCCCCCCAACAAGTGGGGCATATTATATTGTACGATGTTTTTTTTATCCAGGCTGTTTCTCGGAGATGGCTGGGACAATCTTCCTGATACTTTCCTCAATGGACGATCACGGGTTGTAGTTGTGCAGTGAGGTCGTTCAGTTCCAATATGTCTACCGTTGCCATGGAAACCTGTAAAAAGCGACAAATTTTGTCCGCGAGTGTTCTCCCTGGTCCCTTAAACGTTCGTCATGAAACTCTTTTTATTTTAATATTAGTATCTGTAGTTGTGCGCTTTGCATTTAAAATTTTCAAATAATCGATTATTGCCAGGGAAACCAGGGGAATTTTAAAATTCTTTAATTTCATTTTTCAAAACTACTAAGAATGTTTTGAAACTTTCAATGTTAATTCCTTGCAATTTAAAGTGATTTTATTTTAAAATAATTGAAATGAGCGCTACAGTTGTCATAGAAACGAAACAGAAAAAAAAGGTTAAGATGTACACATGTGTTCTCCAAGGTCTAGGTCAAAGGGTCAAATTTCTTCGTGTCCAATAAAATTCATTTCACAAGGATTGCATATTTAAAATACGAAACCCCTAGTTACCGTTAAACATTAGGTACTATTTAAAAACCCCCCCCCCCCCTTTTAAGCGCTGCCAGGTAGAATACACAAAAAAACATTACACCTTACAAGTAAATTTTTAAAATTTATTCATAAAATTCAGTTCTCCTGATGTAATTTGATAGTTTGCCAACATCCATTCTTCTTTGTCTTGTCTCTAGTTTTTTAAAATTAGTTTATTTTATCTATATAAAAAAAACATTGTAGCTGTTTTTAGCATTTCGCTTTTTTTTTTTTTTTGTACATGCATATCTATTACTTGTATATTATTAATTTCATTAGATAGTGCAATAAAAAAAAAAAATTTACGTTTTTTCCATACTTTTTATTATTCATAAACCCTTTGGACCCACCCCTACAGGTGCGCAAAGCCTTGATCACTACTGTAAACAAAACATTATTGCCGAAAATTTCATGATTCCGAAATGAGAAAGTTTACACATGATTTATCATCTCATAAGAAACATCAGCCCTGTGCAATGCAGAAATGCTGGAATTGAAGGGGAAAATTCAGGAGTTATTAGGGGAAAAATTGGATTTTTTGGGGAACGAAGTCGGGGACACATATTGATATTGACGCATTTTTTTTTATCCAGGCTGTTTCTCGGAGATGGCTGGGACAACTTCCTAAATTTTCCCCAAAGGACGATCCTGGTTGTAGTTGTGCAGTGAGGTCGTTCATTTCCCAAATATGTTACCGTTGCCAGGGAAACCTGAAAAAAGCCAATTTTTGTCGGAAGTTTTCTCTCTGGTCCCTTAAACGTTCGTCATAAACTCTTTTTTTTTAATATTAGTATCTGTAGTTGTGCGCTTTGCATTTAAAATTTTAAATAATCGATTTTTGCCATGGAAACCAGGGGAATGTTAAAATTCTTTAATTTCGATTTTCTCAATAACTACTCAAGCAATCGTTTTAAACTTTAATGTTAATTCCTTGCAATGTTAAAGGATTTTACTTTTAAAATAATTAAATGAGTCGCTACAGTTGTCATAGAAACGAAACAAAAAAAAAGAATTCAGATGTACACAAGTGTTCTCCAAGGTCTAGGTCAAAGGGTAAAAGTTCGTCGTATCCAATAAAAGTTCATTTCACAAGGATTCATATTTGAAATACGAAACCCCTACCCCTTACCGTTCAAACATTAGGATATGTTAAGACGCCCCCCCCCCTTTTTGAAGCGCATCCTAAATAAAATATAACATATACACCTTACAAGTAAATTTTTAAAAGTTTCTTTCATAAAATTCAGTTCTCCTGATGTAATTTGATAGTTTGCCAACATCCATTCTTTTTTGTTTTGTCTCTAGATTTTATAATTAGTTTTTTTTATTATATAAAAAAAACATTGTCAGCTGCATTTATTACATTTGCGTTTTTTTTTGTACATGCATATCTATTACTTGTATATTATTAATTTCATTAGATAGTGAAGATAAATAAAAAATTTGTACATTTCCATATTTTTATTCATTCATAAATCCTTGATCACGCCTACAGGTGCGCAAAGCCTTATCACTACTGTAAACAAAACATTCAATCGCCAAAAATGTTATGATTCCGTAAACTGAGAAAGTTTACACATGATTTATCATCTCATAAGAAACATCAGCCATGTGCAATGCAGAAATGCTGGAATTGAAGGTGTCATGTCAATTGTTTTCCCGGAAACCTCTAAAAATAAAAGTAAAAGTAAGGAAATTTCAGATTCTACTGGGCTATTATACACAAAATAATTCGGCTATTTTTTAAAAAATTACATTTGCCAATTTTTTTTTGGTAAAAAAGATATGCCAATTAACAAGTACAAGGCTCATTTAAGTCATCAGCTCAATTTCTTTTATGCAAGTCTGCAAATTTGGAACTTGAATTTTTTCCCTTACTACTTTCTTCTCCTACCGATTCTAAAAAAATTAGTGGGATGTACCCAAAAGGTTTCCGTTTCCAAAAAAAAGGACTTATAACTATGGTTGTCCAAGCTTAGCTAATGGCCCCTTTTTTTAGTGATATAAAAATAAAATTTTTGTCCATAGGGGGGACATATGCTATTGTTAAAAGCAATTTCTAGTTCTTATTCTTTTTTTTTTTTTTTTCCTAGACGTTAATTTGAGGCCTCATATCTCACTCATTTCTCAATGGATTTTGCTCAAATTTTAACATTATAGACATAATAAACTTATCAGAATGCTGTCTAAAATTTCAAAAAGTCATTTCCCTTTTTGAGAAATTTCCCTTTAAACGAAAATTTATAGGCTTTCATTTCCAGACAAAGGCTAGAACCACAAAAGCTGGAGAAAAAAATTTTTATGGTTTTGATAACAAAGGTTTAAGTTGTGCACATCGGTTTTTGTTTTTCGATTTCTGTATTTAAAATGGCCTATATGGGGTAAAAAATTTAAACGCCTAAAAACAAAATTAACAATATTTTTCCTTTTTTATCTTGAAAACAAAAAATTTTTTTTAAGACATGAGAAAAAAAGTTGTGATAATTGCACAGCTTTCATTTAATATCTTTTAAAAAGGGGTGGAAAATTAGGGACCTAGGGCCCTTAAATTTTTTGCTTTATAACTCAAAAAAAAAATTTCGGAATGACTGTCGTTATGAAGGTTTCTTTAACATCTTATTATCTCATGAAATTGTTTTGTTCACTTTTTTTTAAATAGCTAGATACATACCCTATATGTACAGGTAATTCTTTTCACTCAGCACGTAAACGGAGCTCCTCATGCGTGAAAACCCAAAAACAAACTTACTATAAATGATAAACATGGCTACATTAATGAAATTTTTTTTTAGAATAAGGTTCTTGAATTTTTTGGGTTTTTAAATTATCATGATTATTCACTGACAATTTTCCCTTTTATTTCATTTTTTTTTAAATCGTATAAATAAAGTCTATAAAAATAAGAAAAGATAATCTTTTTTCTTATCTTAAAAACAAACAATATAGTAGAAAATAAAACATAACTGTAAAGCAAAACTATTCACAGCCATTAAGTGCACGCCTTTTACTTTCCCTTTTTTGTTTACGATTATATCACGCGCCTCCCTCATAACGCGGGGAAAAGTGGTCCCCGGGGAATAATGGCGTGTTACCCACACCCCAGTCATATACACAAAAGAAACCACAAATTTAAAAATTTAATAAAATGTTGAATCTTTCAGATTATTTCATAGTATCTTTGACTATTATGTCGCTAGTGCATTTATTAATAAATTTTTTTGCTGAATTAAAAAAATTGCATATAATTATTTTTTTTTTTTAGCAAATGTTTTTTATTCAGGTATGATTGTTTCACTTCAAATACCATCGAAAAATGCTCCTTTGTTTAATTTCTACTAGGAAAATTTTTTGTATCTTAAGTAAAATGTACATGTATGTAATTCAATTTACGTTCTTTTGTCGTCGTCCTTAAAATTAAATGTATAGCCCAATTATACAAATATGAGCGTTTTTCAAATACATCAATACAAAATCCCACATTCACACGCGCCTCCAAAGATATAATTGAGACACACATGCGTAACTTATTCCATTGGACAACTAATTTAAACCCTTTAAAAATAATTATTTTCTATCAAACTTGTAATTTTTTGCAAGCAGGTTTCCGTTTATTTTTTTTTATGTTTAATGCTTCATTAAATTTTTGGAACAAAAATGTACATGCATGCAAGTACAGAACATGCACGTTTTATAATTAAAGTATAATGCATATGCAAGAGTGCCCAAATATACGCATTAAGCCTAATCTGCGTTTTAAAAAAAAGACATTATGTAATAATTATAGGTGAAGTTATTATGAGTTGTTTTTTTAACGGGTAGCCCACCTGTCCCGTCA